ATTGATTCAATTCTACTCCTTTGCCTGTTCAATGTGTCATCTATTTCTGAAAATTTAGTATTAATCTTCTGGATTTCTGTGTGTAGATTTTGTATCATTTCTAATTTTTCACTTATTTTGTCATTTTGTTCTTGTACTGTCTTTTGAAATTGTTCTAGCGTTTTCTTTGTGTTTACTCAATTTTGTCAGTGTTTTCCTTGATATGCCTCTCAATTTGTTGAAGAAACCTAAATATAATTATTTTGAATTCCTTATCAGGGAGTTCCAATGCTGCATCTTCCTCAGGGATGTGTTTTGGGTCTGTATGCTGGTCCCTTGTTTCTCCTGCTTTATCTTGGTTCTTTGTGTGGACTGTGATGCTCTGTTGTCTTCGAGGCATTGTGATGTTTTTGTGTTTACATTTAATTGGTGATTGTATGTTGGAGTGACTTGCCCACAATTTTCGTTTGCTTTGTTTTGTTTGTATGTTATCTACGGAAGCAGGGTGCTGTGCTGGGCTCCTCTGTTCACTAGTGGCAGCACTTATACTCTCATCCCCTGTCTCCTTTCCCATTGTCAGCCTCCCATATGGCCCTGCCAACCTTGGCAAATGGAGCCTATTCCTGGGTCCCCGGAATCTGAGAATGCTGTCACTTCAAAATCCAAAACGGCTGCTGCTGGTAAACATTCAAAATGGCTGTACCCTCGGTCACTTTAAATATCCAAAATGGCCGCCACTTGTAAACAATCCAAATAGTTTTGCCCACCAGACAGCTGAAAGTCCACAGCTCTGGTTGTCTCCCTCCTTGCTGTTTCCCTTCCTAGTCATAGGCCACCAGCTGAGTCACCCCTGCAGCTCTTGGTAAGCAGGGCTGATCCTTAGGTCAATTCTCAGGTCCCAACACCACCTGGAAATATTCAGGCTGTTGATTCTGTCAGAGTAGCTGACAGTCCACTGCTCCAACCATCTCTATACTCAGTTTTCGTTCAGGTTTTCCCACTAGTTGGTGCCTAATCCACTTCTGTATAGTGCCTTTCAAAGCTCAGGGTTCCAGGATTATCTTCTGTATCTCTCTCAATTGGTTCCTCTTTTCTTTGTTGAAGAGTCTACTTGTCTGCCTATTCTGCCATCTTACCAGAAGTCCTAGATCACTGATTTTTATATGAGTATGCTAAAACTTCCAGAGAAGTACACTCGTTTCCTACTCCTTGGTCATCCCCCATTCACAGTTTGCAGGGGAGACTCGATTATGTCTTTTTAGAAGAGGCTCTGTCCTCAAAGAAGGAAAGCAGCTCCAAACATCTCCTGGTGGCCCTGAGGAGTGACAGGAACTTGGACTGAAATCTACTCAGCACGTCCTGTGAAGGTCCAAGAGCTAGAAGTGAAGGCCTCGCTGGACTGTAAACAGCCCACCGATACCGTCTGGCCAGCTCCTCAGAGGAGGTCAGCCGGGAAAGCTAACCCTGGGGCAGGGAGCCTCTCCCACACAGTTGTGCTCTCTCAGGCTTGGGCAATGCGCTAGGCAAGAAGGTAAAAAGATGGAGGAAGGACCAAAACAAACAAGGAAGGAAGATGCAAAAGGAAGACTGGAAAAAAGGTGGAAGAATATACGGGAAGCAAGTGCTGATGGGTAGGCAGTAGGAGAGGTGTTTCAAACTGGATTTTTTATTTAGTTTCATAGAAACTTTTGCACTGTTTCTTTTCTATAACTTCCCTTAGAAGTCTGGT